ATCCCTCCGTAATTTATTCGTTTTGATATAGGATGGAGGGGTCTTTTTTGTGCGGATTTGGTTGACGATAGTTGGAACGGAGAGGCCAGCCCGGTCGTTCACATCTTGCAAAGTAGCCTTGATGAGTGGAAGAGAGTTTGTAGGGCACCATGCTTCCGCGATCAAAGTCTTTCTAGCTTGGTCGTAAGAAAATTGGTTGAGAGTGTGGTAAACTGCTTTCTCTTTTCTAACGACGATCATCCAGGCAGCAAGGGATCGTGCAATTTGTGATAGTTCGGCGTCGAGTGTAACCTTGGTATTACGCAAAACGCTCTCAACGTCGCTCAGACGAGTGTTAGCATCATGAATCTGATCCCTTCGAAGCTCGCTATTCTCATCAACGGAGTATAGGTTCGCTCCAAGAGACTCAGCGATCTTCCTGATTTTGGCAATAATCTCTTTTCCGTGGGCGAAAATTACGAAAACGTTCTTTTGAATGCCCTCATTGTTGGATGGGTCGATAATCGGCTGCGGGATTTCGGATTGGTTCATGTAAAGATTCCCACGCAACGTTCGCCACAAAATTCGTTCAAAGGCACCGATTCGATCCCGGGGGATAACACCAGAAACAAAGCCAATATCCATAACAGAGAACGAAGGTTGATGTTGCACGTCGTCGGTCTGTCGCCTGGATGGATGCTGATGCTCAACGTCCCGCAGAAGCGGTGCTTCGTCATTATCCAATGATTGGCGTATTTCATCCGTATGCCCATGTGCCTTTAATTACTGTCAGTATAGCAGACCGCAACAGTGTATATCAAGCAAGTCATACCCTATCAAAGAATCCACCGGCTTCTCGTAAGACCCAGCGCCATTCTATCAGTTCAACTTCTCGCCGTTTCAGAACTTCATAGCTCTCATTCAGGGAAAAGATCCTCTGTTCCAGGCTCTCGCTTCGTTGCGCCAGTTCATCAATTTCAGAAGCCATCGGGGCGGCTAACGTATTTGCAAATTCCGAGGATGGCCTCATCTCGATGCTCTCCTTTTCCATCTGAGCTTGAAAGTATCCTAGATAAGACACATATAAGTTTCCAAGCCTATTCGGTTTCTCGAGTCAACGCCGTTACGGGAGCTTACGGAGCTGCCTCTCAACATTATCTAAACGCCGGATCTCGTTGGTAAATGTTCTCTGGAAGGCTGTCGTATCCGCGTTGAGCTATCGACACCATCTATGGTTAGTAAATCGTTCAATATAGGTAGATTACGGAAACTTACATCTCTAAACTGCACCATGCCCAGTTCACCTAGCGCGCTAACAACCTCTCTGCCTATTTCATTGGCGATGTACAACTGGGTCAAGCTCATATCCGCAGAGCGGAGGAGCGTATCTTGTGAGGGACCCATCCTCGCCAGCAAATCGACGACACCAGATATTCAGCGAAGGGGCATAGGAAGTTGAGAATAGAGAATCAAGAAAAGACAAATAGGGAGAATAGATTTGCTAAATTGCGGCAACAGTCTTACGGAAACGCCATCCGTGACGTTGTGACCTCAACCTCATCGAAGCTCTGGAAGTAGGTATGCGGTCGTTGATGCGTCACGTGAAAATTACATCAGCAAAATTCAAGATTATGTAATAAGACCTATATTTTAGCGTCTGCTGAAGATGCATCTTAATAATTGCTCTGTGCTCCGAAACTACTAGCCTCTCCCTCTCCATCCATGAAACCAACAACTCCAGCCCAATAACGATGCGTGTGTCGGGCACAATCCGTCTCTTCCCGACGGCATGTATCCTCTCCAAAGCGGGGTTTTGGATTCACCCAGGGTCTCGTATCCTGGACTGCCGAAACTGACTCATAAATAGCTAGAAACTAACAAGAGAGATCATCTAATAACTAGTTAGTTTATTCCCAGCAGTACCGATTCACCTTTCGACTGCCCCGAGCTTTCAAAGTCGTCAGTACTCGAAGCACATTTCTTCTCGTACAACTTCAGAAACAATGTCCGTCCTCGGCGTCTGCCTCTCTGCGGATCACTCCTTCTCGAAATCCGCAGTACCAGCCATAACCCTCCTGCCAGGTCTCGGTGTCAAAGGCGACGCGCACGCGGGTACCACGGACCAACATCTCCCTCGCAAGCATATCAACCCTCCACCTCCCAACCTTCGTCAAGTCCATCTTATGCAGTCCGAAATCCTATCGGCAGCCTCGTCCGACGCAGCAGCGCTGAAGCCGGGAGACGTCGGCGAGAACATCACAACTACTGGTATTGACCTCTTGTCACTCAGCAAGGGGACGAAATTGCGTTTCGTGGACGAGAGTAGTCAAAATGCACCGGATACTACGGCGGTGGTAACAATAACTGGGTTGAGAAACCCTTGTCCTAGAATTGACAAGTTCCGGGCGGGGCTGAAGGAGAAATTCGTGGTGCGGAATGAGGAGCGCAAGATTGTGCAGCGGAAGGCGGGGATTATGGGGGTTGTTGAAGTAGGTGGGGAGGTGAGGCCAGGCATGCGGATTTTCGTAGAGAAACCAGCAATCCATGAAGCACTAGAGTGTGTTTGAAAATAAGACTTCAAAGCGACTGGTAAAGAATACATAGTACTCTACAGGCTTCACCATTGACCCCATTGAAGCCCTGATACCAGTGCTCTAGCTAAACCATGCGTTGAAATATGAAGTTTAAAATGCTAATAATAGTTTGGACGAAAATGGAGAAGGCATGCCATTGAGTCACAACTAAATACAGAGTGAGTGAGCTATCATGAGACGGAAATCTGTTCGACAGAGTGTAGATATCACAAAAGCAGGATTTTTACCTGCAGTTGACCTGGAATGACAGTCCAGATGCGCAACACCGCTTTCTGATTGCCTGTGGTCGTACATGCATGCACCGAACATTTCGATGGGGAGAGTAAAAAGACATAAGAATCATGAACCTAATAATAGGAGTGATTAGTCTCTACATTGGCCTGCTGGGCCTATGCAAAGTAACTCTTCCATAAAACGCCCGCCAAATCTTCAACTTGATCGGGTTCAAAGGCCTAAATGCAAATGATTTTGTCAGCAAAAACTGGTCCAATCCGAGACTCGATGCTGCATACCTTAACGTCAATGTGCCATGTGTCTTGTCTTGTTTTCTTGAATTCACTGATAATCGACTTCACGCTCTGCCCTACGATCCCTGGGTCGCCAGCCGCTTTGGTGCTCAACGTGATCAGCACGTCAGGCATCCAAGCTGGCGGAGGACTAGTATACGGGAACGCTTGGATCAGTGCACCAAGCCCAAGAACAGCAGCGTGTCTTGTAATAACCAATCGCGTGTGTTCTGGAGTGGGAGTACTGGTGCCGGTTGAAGTCGCAGACGAGAACCCCGATGTAAAAATGCGGCGCTTTTTGGGTAGAGGATGTTTAACTAGAGACTGAGTAAATCGATCTCGAAGCTTGAGAACCATATCAGTGCGAAGTCGGATAGGAGAGCACCGGATCATCCCAGACAATGTCGCTGAAGCTCCCGCTCGAACCTCATGCTGGGGGTCCTCAAGCATGTTTGCAACGCAATCAAACAGCTTCTCACGGTCAAACTTGGAAAGTAAAAATAATCGGCGGAAGTAGATAATCTGCATGTTGATCATAACTCGCAATCGTTGATGCCAGGATTGGGAGGTACGGCCAATCCGAATTAAGGTATCCACAAACTCTGAATCTTCGCCAGCAGGATGTGGAATGTTTGGAAGATGTCTGAAAACATGGTATGCCAATGACTGAAGCTCAGGGTCTTCCTTCACATCCATCATATGCAGCAATTGCTCGGTAAAAAGTTGTGGGAAAAAGGGAAGCAATTGGGTGCACTCGTATGAAGAGAGAGATGAATCAAGCCATAGCAATACCGTTTTGCTGCCGGAAGTATAGGACGAAGGCGTTTGCTGGCCAGGAGTCCTTTGATGACGCCACTTTTCAAGCCGGTCAAAAACATCATGTATCATCGCCGAGAATTGTTCGGTGGGTTGATAAGCACGGCTACCAACCGACGAAGCCTCTTTCTGGGACATAATCAAAGCATCAATATTCGGGAACGACTCATGATATCTCGTGCGGAAGATCGATGCCAACGTCCGCCCAACCGCGTCACGAACACCTTTATAAGGGTGATCAAGGTGCGAAAGGAAATCTTCAACGATCGGTTTTTCTAGCTGGAAATGCCAGCCGGCATCTAAGATGCACTGGTGGAGTAAGTTTATTTTCGAACTTTCCTTGAATGCAGCGTTAGAAGACATATCAAGGCGGAAACTGGCGAGCCAATCTATCAACGGCCATGCCCTTCGTGGATCACGACATTGGAACGTCATATGGATAAATTGAGTCCAGTAGGATGAGTTCTCAGGCGTCAGTCCATCAGAAAATATCTTCTGAATAATTGGAAACGCATATTCCCAAACCTTTGTGCGTCGTTCAACACTGCTATCCACAACAGATCCGATTAATCCTGCTAATATTTCGGCAGTCGCGCGATGTTGATGTTTATCGCTTCCGTCCTCAAAAACAGCAGTGATTTCCTCTTTGATGTCCTCAAACGTCGCTTTCGTAAGATCATCACGAGTCATAAGTTGAAAAACATAAAGGAGCGTCATTGCGCTCGACATCCGAAATTTATCAGCCGACATATCTCTCGGCTCTTGTTTCAGATATCGAAAGAACTCAGAAAACCATTTTCGGTCGAACAAAGCTCCCATAAACTTCCGAACATTCCATTCAAGTTCGTCGTACTCAATATCACACTTCACATTGGGCTTATACGCAGTCATCGTCTTGTCCCATACCAGCCACCCAGGATTTTCGTGGTCAACATAATACTCCGCATCTGGTTTGGCAAAGCTGGCAAGAAAGTCTCGCGTCCAGTTCGGATCGTCTGGTTTTGTGGCGACCTGAATTTTCGCAGGATAATATTGCTTCCCAAGGATATAATCTTCATACGTGTGGCTGCATGCTGCTCTAACATCGATCATCGTAAATATAGCCACCATCGTTTGTGAATACATCCCTCGAAGGCCCGGATGAGTGTCGATAGCCCCATTAATTATTAGGCTGATCAGATTCTCGCTTGCCACATTGTCAAACCGCAGGCCCATGCCAATGACAATTGGAGCGGTGCGACTAGCCTTCTTCCAATGTGACACTCTTGCCAAATTCACTAGTTCGTCGGCAAGATCGGCCTTTTTATTTTCAATCAAAATTCGTTTCTTTTGAAGGCTTTCTCTCTTCTTTGCAATCATATCGTCAACACTTTCCGTTGGCGCAATCGCGCCGACAATATCCTTGTCAAGGATGGCCATCCTATCCGCATCACGCCCATACTCAATTATTTGATACAAGCCAGTGTTGCAAATCTTCTGTACGGACGGCTTATCAACAGTGCTAGCCTCGATAAAGGCCCGAATGAGTGATGGCGTGTATTTCCAGTGACGACCTAATGTTTTGGCTAGACTCCCAAAAAGCAGCGAATATAGCGCACCTTTGATACGGGGAAAGTCATTGTCTTTTAAAGCAGTTTGCAGGGCTTGGATAAGCGGCGGAATCACAAGCAGTCGCGAACCCCAAACCGCTTTGAGGGCAGACTCGCCAGCAAGTTGTGCATTCCTGCGGATATCGGTATACAAGGAAACGCTTGATTCAGCTAGGTCAAGGAGTAAAGTTTCGTCTAGTTTTGATCGCGGTCGAGGGGTAGCATTATGTCGAAGTCGTTGTAAATGGTACACATTGGCGCGGCGAACGAGGAGAGGGCGAGGGTAATCTTTCCTCACGCCGCTCATTTTGTAAGGATACGAATCAGCAGAAAGCAATTTGGTGACCCGATCCAGTACGTGTGCAGTCCTCTCGATTCCCACATCCATAAACCACGAACGATAAGCAGTGTACAATGGGGAGAAGCAAGAAACGTCATCCTCCTGTTTTTCAACCAAGAACCTATGCACGTTATGAAGCACTTGCCCGATTTTGTCCCTGGTTTCGTGCAGCGCAATACAGAGAGGGTCGTCGTCCGTCAAGGAATATCCACTTGGATAAGAAAAGGTACGTCTGATAGTCGCTTCATCAGAGCTATCAAGCGCAGAATCAGGATCATCTTGCTGGACTAACTCGCCAGAGTCATCCGCATCAGTCATGTCGACATCACTGTCCGAAATTTTGTTCTTCGAGGCCGCGCGGTTGTTGAACAGGACAGAAATCCCCGAAAGTATCAGCCTGAGTAAAATAATATTTCTTGTTACTTCATCCGACCAATCTTTGCCGCTCCCATCTCGCTTAATCCTTGGGTTATCACTAGTCAAGTTCGTAAGATGTTCCAATGCGTTTTCACTCTGCGTTGTAAACAATTCCACTGCAAATTCTAGCTCTTCTCGCTGCGGGACATGCCATTTGATGGTGAGGTCTTTGGGATCCTGCCTCTGGCCCCATTGTTCAACCTGAACCCCATTTTCAATGATGGACGGTTCGAACAGCGCGTGATCCACCGTACAAGTCGCCGTAAGATTCAAGAGCAGGTGATGAATGAAGTTCGAGATATGAATTGTTGGAATACCTTTGCATTTTTTCTGCATGTAGGTGGCAATGTGAATAAGCTCTTGCTTATACTTCAAGATCTCACCCCCAACATGCACCACGCACATGCTAAGCATACTGACGTTCCAAACGAGGCCGCGGTCTCGAGGGAGCACATCAGAGCCAGTCGTTCTGGTCGACGCCGCCCCGTTTTCGTCAATTTCGGTACGGATAGATCGAATCAACAATGGAATAAATCGCTTGAGCGCTTTTTCGGGGTTCACTTTGCAGAGCGCATTGCAAATAAACGCCACTGCATCTCGAGCTTGGTGAATAACGTGCTCGGCTACAAAGTCGACAATTTTATGGAGGGCGACGTCGTATAATTCTGAAGATAAAGAAGCAAGGAGTGGCATGAAAGTGGCGGGTAGAGTATTGAGAACGTTTTCCTCAGGTGAGCCGCTACGGACTCGCGCAGCATCCGGGAGGTTCTCCAAGAGAGTAAAGACTCTGCCAAGGAAAGATATCAGAAATTCACCAAACCCAGTGGTAGATGACCGCAATATCATCTGTTCGGTTTCGTCACTGAGGCTAGTGTCATAGTTCATTTCGACAGAGGCACCTTCCTCCTCCATCCTTTCGAGTTCTCCTGTAATCCACTGCATGGCTAACATATTTCCATTGACGTCTTCACGTCCTTGAGTAAGATCTTCAAACGGGATATTGTAACAGACAGACTGGATGAAAGCCAGAGAATGGAGCGACTTCTCAAGGTCATTCGCGTCAATCCCTGGTAATGCCAGACCGAGTAAAGTTGTAATGTGGCAACGGAATCCTTTTGTTCGAATCATAATTTTCGAGAGAACCTGAAGCGATCGTAGTGAAGATGTTGTTCTATGCACCTCAACAACTCCTTGCATCGCGGGATATATCCGCTGCAAAGCTCCGGGTAGGATTAAGCTCGGTTCCAGGTATGCTAAACTCTGGAGAGTGGCCAGGGAGTAATTCATTGCCGTTCCACTCTTGGAATATATTCCCATAAACGTAACCTCTCGAAGGCACAAAACGAAACGGTGTTTGACGGCATTGTCCAATTTTCGCTCAGCGGGAACCTCTATTTCACCACTCCTCTCTCGGTTCCAGCGCATGACGAAGAAGTCAGCCAGGTAGTTGATCAATTGTGAAAGAATCTTCGACCATGTTCCTGCGTTTGACGGGTGAAAGAAAGTTTCCACCGCTTCTACCAAACCTTCAAGTCGGCTAAGGATTGAATCATTGGCATCGACACAAGCAGGGGATAGAGACATGACAATGAGCCTCGCGATATGATGTGCAATTGGATGCCCTCTTGGGTCCCTATCGAGCATGACGCCAAGCCCCGCACAGAGATCAACTACACCACTGTATGAAGAAGTTGCTTGACCGACGGGAATCTCAAGGATTCTCAGAATTGCAGTAAATATCAAAGCGGTTTGCTCAGAGGTAAAGATGCCAAACTCGGAGAATGAAACGTGATGGGCAGGTAACCAATCCCGAGCTAAACGCGATAGCAGGTCTAGAAAAGTGACATCAAAAGCTCTGGATCGGTTTACTGTGGACCACAGGTGGAAGTAAGTGGGCATGTAATGCTGGGGGTACAAATCCGTTCTGTCTTTTGGGCCTGGAGATGTAGGTAAAAACAAGTTCATCAAGCCAACCACGACAAATGCTCCCTCTGTGAACGATGTGGTGAAGTGAGGGAAAAAGTCTTCTATCATTGCTGGAATTTCAAGGGGGTTAAAATAAAGCTGTGCAAAAGAACATAACTTCGTAAGCGTTTTGATATTACGTTTCGAACTTGTGGAATGCACAAGCTCTGATTCGGAAGGGAGGACGAAAACTTTTATTTCGCGATAAAGTGGTTTCCAATCCAGGGTGATATCTTTGACTGGGCGGAGATAGTGTTTCCTCCTACTACGCATTAGCATCGGAAGTGACAAATCCAAGGAACAACCGCGTACTTTGTGAGCGTCATAAACATGCTGGCAAACCTATCTGAAATGCTCGCATCGACCCCTGGCGCTAGCGAGAGTTCATAGTAGAGCCTAACCAGCTTCGCTCGCTGTTCCCGGGTGGGATCGAATTTCAGGGAAAGCCATGACCGGAGCTCCCGAGTCCAATGGACAGCGCCAGGGTTAAAATCACCCGATTGCACCGCGATATAGAGGTATTTGAGGATCTCATCAAGATTCTGTTGCCGCTGAGTTTCATCCTCAAGCTCATATGGGAGGTACTTAAAATACGGGTACGTCCGTGGTCGATTGCGAGCTTTTTTGGAGGGATCTTCGAGGCCGTTCATATTGTTTTCGGGATCTCCCCCTGGTGAAGTGGCCCGAGAAAGTTCGTGGGTATGCGTTGGCCTGGCGGTTGATAAGAGTATTGGAAAGCGCTGGCTTGAAGGATCCATCCTAGGTCAAGAGGAAGGGCGAGTTGGGGTGAAAAGGTCCCTCTGTGAATAATAGGCAGCATTAGCATGCGTCAGCCTCAACGACAGCTCACAGTCCAGGCTGCAATCACGGACGAGTTGCCGGAACGTTTCCCTCCCCGCCTTATAGAGTTGCTTACCCCGGATATCAAACCACCTTTGCAATTGCCCGCAAAGGTGCGAAGAGGTGAGTGTTCACGGAAGTCGGTCGTGTGCCGGCAGGCATTGGGTTTGGGGGGGCGACCACGGTGACACACTTGAGCTGGTCGAAAGAATAGCCCGAGTCTTGAAGACAAAACACTGTGAGGCTCCTCAATGGCCGTGACAGCAGACTGGTGTTCCTGTGTTCCTGCGACGGTGCAAGACGGGCCGCGTGAGAGATCTGGTCGTGAAGCTAGCACTGGAGCTCTCTTGATGTTGAGAGATGCGCCGTCTTGGCATGGAAACCTGGAACTCAAAGCAGCTGACCCACTGCCCCGGAAGATTACTAATGCCGTCTCCACACAGCCGCTCCTTCCTCACGTCACCACCTGCTGCCTGATCTGGCATTCGGCTCAAAATGATATCAAATTACCTAAGCACTCCATCTATGATTGATCTATAACTGGAGAAGGACAACTATACACACCCGCGCAGGGAGTGGCAACGAGATACTACTCAAGCCGGGGGAAGGAACGACGCGAATAAACTGGCTTGGACTATCCCGTACATGACCATTCCGCTCAATACATGACGCGGCTTTAACAGATAAGATTCTTTGCTTCCATAGCCGAGAAAAGCAGAAGCCAGCCACCAATACAACACGGGATATCCGGATGCGACGCGGTTGATGATCTGTACATGATAGCTGGTTATGGCGAGAACAGCAAGCATGGCCGGAGGCAATGCAAGTCGAGCGAGACAGGCTTGCGTAAACTCGTGATGTGTGCCACGTGCGGTGGGCGGATCAAGCGCCCACCTGGAAGACCAGAGTAAGAGAGCAAGCATAGGTGCCGCAATGAGGAAAAGCGGGATATTCGATAGGTTCCAGTATCTTAGAAACCCAACGTTCCTAGTTGAGCGGAGAAAGTAAGCGTGTCGGAGCCGAAAATGCGAACATAGGGCCAAACATACCAGTAATGGCTTTGGACCCAAGCGTAGATGCTTGGGAACGTATTGGTGCACCAACTCCGAGGCGGAGACGCTGCTTGGCAATATTGTGAATATGCGATATATTGAGGAGCGGTAGTTCCTAGTAGGATCACCGACCCTCCAAGAACAATGGAGATGAGTCGGCGTATCCCCGACCATTTTAGGCTTCTAGCTTGGACGATCTCAATCACACTCGACAGCGCGTCATAGGCAAATAAGAGGCCACTCAGAATGCCGTTACTCCGGACAGTGGTGGCTGCTGCGAAAATACAACCGGCAGTAACGAATTTAACATCTCTCGGGAACAAAAAGCCCCCCCGCTCATCTCTCAGGGCAAGTACGTAGATGTAGAACCCCAGGAAGTTGAGAAGCGAAAAGAGAGCTTCGCCATAGGGTGCGGATAAGAAGGCGCCTGCTGGACAGACAATGTGCAAGGCCGCCGCGAGCACGGGCAGGCTCCTGGCACATTTGTCCGTCCCATCGAAGACCTTTTTGGTTAGAGCAAAGAGGACCAGCACGGATAGATAGTGGCATATATGTGAGAGTGCAATTCCAGCGATGGCCAGGTCTAAAGGCTCTCGAGGCACTCCTAGAGTCTATAGTTAGCTATTGCTACTCACAAAGAGTAAAACGCGAGAGTCGGACCCCCAGACAAGAAGGATAGAACTTTTCCATATCCAAACGCCCACTCCTGCTCATACAGATAACCACGCTCGGCGATGTGTAGAAAGTATATCGAATCCCATCTCACCAACTTGAATAAACCCAAAGGTAAATGCTTGGGCGGACTCAGGGGCAGCAGCGTGGTTGATGTGTCATACCCCGGGCCCGGAGCCGTCAACATGACCAGCAGGAGTAAGGTCTTCCACGAGGCAAACCATAGTGTCAGCGTCCGCACCGCGTGGTGAATGTCCATGGCTGGGGATGCAACAACAAGCTTCCCTCACGAATCTTGCGTGCGGAAAAGCCCGACGTGTGGGCTTGGCACCGTTGAAGATGCTCAGACCGCGGGCCCGCGGGCAACTAGGACCGATTCAGTATGGTTTAGCATGAAGATGATCGGTGACCTCTAGCTATAGGAACGAGGAGAATCGGCGATGGTGACCGCAATGGAAATTGTATGGAGTAGGAGTAAACAACTTCAACGAGGTAACACCTAACAATTATTGTACAACTATTTGCTCGTTGGCAGGTCTAAAAACTGCATCGCCCAGAGATCTCCCCATCTTTAGATGGGACTGGACTGAAAATTTTGATGTCTAGCTAATCTCCTGTCTCTCCCGCAAGTCGCAAAGTTGACTCTCTCACCCTTGATGGCGTGCCTCGGTATTACCAGTTCGATCTTTTTGAATCGGGGTTCAATCACTCTCACATCGTTCCAACAGCAGCTCTGTCTCATCGCCGGGGGTCGGCGACAACCTTAGAAATCCAGGCTTCGGAACGTGGAAGAGCAGTGGTTCCGGCTCGGCAAGGGAAAACCTTGTGAAGTCGGCATCTTCAGCTGTTTTGCTCCGAGCGGCGGAAGCCAACAACCAAACACGCCCTTGTCGCACGTCCAGGGAATCCACGTTGGAAGTCTGAAGCATCCTCTTGCTGGCGAATTTGAAATCAACCCGATCCTGTCAGCTTGCCGCAGACTTGTTGGCTCTGTTGTAGTCGTATTTACGCATTGCTGGAAATCGGCCTGAGCCTCCTCCCCCAGCCATGTGTCCGGTCATCGGCAGCCGCAAACGTGTCAGCCTTATTCTGTCCAAGACAGGCTTAGAGGGCGAGAGCTGCTGACAACCAGCTGCTCTAATCTGGTGGTTGTTGCGAGAAGGTTCAGCGCCACTGCCCACTCCCAGCCGAATACGATACGAGCCCACATCTAACAAGCTGCTCAGAGCTGAACAACAGCCATCCTGAGCCTCAACTGGGATTCTCTCAGGCGCGTGCATTTGGGCAACGTCGCTGGAAAGCTTGCTGGTCTCCCAGACTTTGAAACTCTAGTCAGAAAACACATCGGTTTCTCACTGGGCTGATGATGTTGAACTGCCAGGATCACGATGAAGCCGCCGACTTGGCCAACTAACTGAAGACAGGAATTCCTCTTATTATCCTGACATCCCGCCCGGTCCGTCTGATCATTGTGTGGAACCCAGTGGATATCAGAGCGAAGGGCCTGCCCTGCGCTTCTTCCCCTTGCCTCCTTCCGTCATCCGCGGAATCCCGGGGTTTAGGCACTGTCGATTTCCAAATTCCGTGTAGTTCACTCCCTCAATCCCCTCCGCCGCCCTCTTGCACCAACAATTTCCACTCGTTCGTCCGAGTTGGTCGCCGTTTGCCTCTTCCTGCGTTGATTTCAAATTCCTATCGCTTCTCATGACTTAACAGCCCGCTTTTCCCCTTCCCAGTCCGTACTCTCGTTACATCTTGTTGTCACGCGCGGCTACATGCCTCCATACATTAACAGACAGACTCGGTGCAACACCCCACGAACATCTCGGCGTGTAACACGAGAATTAGCTTAGCTGCCTCCTATCTAACGCCCCAGAAGCGGCGGCCATTCGATCTCTTCCTGTCCTACCTCCGATTTGTCCATTGAGATTCCCCGGACCGGTTTATCTACCCCCTCCTGCCCTCTTATCAACCGGACTATTTACAGGTTTAGGGCGGAGGGGCTTCGAGCTTCATAGAGACCGTCCAAGCTATCGGTCGTTGAGCAACATTCAGTGTTTCTGATAGTTATCGGCTTCCTGCGCAATATTGCCGTTTCTTCCAACACGCATGTGATTGTGAAGCGCTAGAGACTCACCGTTTCGATGGACCTGGCCCCAATTGGAAACTGGTCATTGCTGAGCTATCCGCATTATCAACTAGCTTAAACGTCCGCATAACACTACTCGTTGCGCAAAAAGACTTGGCTGTTCCACTGAGGATCGGATTCAACAGGCGCAGATGGTATCTTCGGCGAGAGCAGATAGACAGTGGTATTCTGAATAGTACAAGTGCTGGGTTCTGCCAACATTTCGCCATGCTGGTCAATTTAGGCCTGACTGCTGACGCCGCTGCCGTTCATCGACACGAGTTCTCTACACATCAAAGTGAGCGATCCACGACCCCGACTCTTTCGCAGGTTTCGAACTCCATCCTGGCTCTTGGATTCATGTCGTCTGGTAGGCGCGTCCGTAGCCCTGGAACCGGAGCTTCTAAGCCAGCGCCTGCAGGCCCGGTGGGTCTTTCGTCACCTTTGTCGTCTCCTCTATCTAGCCCTAGAGATTCAATTGAGGTGGAACGTGACCAGGATGATTCCGGGTTTGATAACTGCAGTGAAGTTGAGCAGGATATTCCCATAAGCCCCAGAAGGCGAAATGTCCGCCGCTCCAAGACGTCGTTTCGCTTTGCTCATCCGCCGCCGTCCGCCCATAAGCGTCTGAGAATCCGACCTCGGCTGTTGCTACAGCTGCAACATGTATCTCAAAGCTCCCGCCCGATTTCCGCGCTAGACGTGCTTCCCTCTTGTCTCTTTGGTACCCGTGCCGCGAGAAAGGTATCCAATCCGTGCCGGGGAAAGGATCGTATCGGCCCAAATGACCTTGTCATCGTCCCCAGCGACTCCTACGGCCCGTCAGAGGACGAGCAGCGGAACTCAGCCGATATACAGAGGGAGCCGGTGGCAGTAATAAGTCAGCCCCGTAAGGAGGAATCTAAGGCCATGGCGGATATCTGCATTGACCAAGGAGGCGTGTGGGAAGTAACGTCACTTTCCAGCAATATCTATGAATTTTCCCATACAGATGAAAATGGGCTTCGCAAGTCAGTGCGCTGGGTATTGCGTGGCAAGCAAAATCGGAACTCGACTGGGTCGATTGTCGGCTTTGAACAGAACAGTAAACGGTTCACTTTCAGCGTAATCGATCCGACAACCCGTCGACACCCGGTTATTGCATGGATGACCAGGAATGGCATTGACGTGCTTGATCAGTACTCATCAACATCTGGGTCTATTCGCAGCCGTTCAACTAGTGTCTCTTCCCCGAGTTTTAACTCGAGGCGCCCAGATCCGGTCTCCGAGAATGATATGATCGAAACTGACGATCAGCTGCGAACGCTAATAGTCGTCACTGGAATCTGGGTGGCGTTGCGCGAAGGATGGTCGAGGTATCCCTTGTCATCGGAGGCCAGACATAGCATACCTCGCTCCAGGAGCACGACCACCTCGCCCACACAGCTACAATTCCAGGTGGCAGAATTCGATGGCAGCCATAGTGAAATAGGGTTGCCTACGCAGGAGCGCCATCGAGGCAGCATTCAGTCAACTGTGCAAGCAGCGCGACGAGCTAGTTTGTCAGTGCGTAGTCGGCCCGTGTCTCCGGCCCATTCATCGTGGGGCCCCGTGATAAAGCCGGAGCCGGCCAGGATCAATCCAGAGAAAGGCCCTCCGAAAAAGTGGCCGAAGCAGCATCGACGTAAACGGCATTGTGTTCTTTGCGCCGGTCGTGAGTCCCCTTCGCCTCCTAATAGCCCGAATCTCCCTGATATACCCATACCATCCCCGACGATACGACGAAGCAGGCGCCACGCGACGCGAGAACCAGCCCGGGTTGAATCTAACGAGAATGATGCTGGACATCCATCAGTTAATGCAGCCCCGATCGCTTCACCCCGAAAAGCCGAAGCAGCGACAAGGCGAAAATGGTGCGGCCTGGGCTTCTGGATTGGAACAAAGGAGAGGAACAAAGCTCGCTAGAGGCAGCTTATCATAACGCCTGGCAAAGACTCCTACGTGTTTCTTGCATTATTGCTGCGTACATAGTATTCATGAGGGAACAAAACTCTACTTATCAACCCTAATGTATATACAAATAGAAACTATATCTGATAATCGCTAATAGCTTAGCGATAAAAAGAAAGCAGCTCATCACTTTCTCGCGGGGGATTTTACCTGGACTCATGAACCGCTCACTCTTCAACGTCAAGCTCACCGCCAAGTGACGCTTGTGCATGAAATGGGCATGTTGTGAGTTCGTGGGGCCGGTTCGAACCGGGCTCGTAAAAGCCGGAATCCGCCGCTCAGGACAAGGGCGAAAAGGAGGACAGTAATGGAAAGGCTCGTCAGGCTCCAAGTCAGCGATTCTTATCATTTTGCGTACATATCATTCTTGACAGCCCGCTTCTTCACGTCGTCCTCCCTGGCAGCCCGGCTGATTTGATAGTCGCGAGGAGATGCACGGACTGGAGGGATCGCAGATCGACGGCCAAGCCTTCCGGATGCAGACTAGCGGTTGTGTTTAGTCTTTCCACAGCGAAACCTTAAAAAAGGTTAAATGCAGTGCGTTTGGAGGGGAAAAAGGAAGAAGAGGAAGAGGAAGAAGAAATATAGGAGAAGAGAGAGAGGGAGAGAGAGATAAGAGAGAACTATTAGAGAGGGTGAAGTGTGTGACTTGGCTGAAACATCGGCGGGCGCGGCGGTTCGACGTCGTGTTGATCGGATCGTCGACGAGGGGTGCAGGGACTGGGGGACAGTCTTGCAGTCTTGCAGATGGTCGCACTATCGCAGTGCTCAATTTCCTCTGTTGCTGATGTCAGAAGAGCATCGCGGTGGGCATTATGTAATGGGCGGGCTGTCGAGCCTTGCCGTGTTGGGACGCCATGCGCGCTTTTTCTCGGCCAAAAAGTCAGACCCAAAACGCTCAACGGAGACGAAAAACAACAAATCTTCTAATACTCAACTAAACTACCCTTGGGATACCTCGCCTCGAACCTACCAGCAACCGCCCTGACCCCACGCTGCGCGCAACGCTTTGCTTTTTCCCTCTTCGCTTGCCCCTCGCCTGCGCTCCAAGCATCACGGCTTCCGGTAAATGACGTTTCTGTAGGTCGTTCCTGTTCGCATTTCGGCTGCTCCTCTCCCCCCTCCCTCCCGCCTCTCTTCTCCCCCAGGACGCCTGAGCTCGGGGTTACACCGCTCGATCCCTGCCTTGCCCCAGACTCTTGAGCGAGCCAAGTTTCTGGGCTTCTGGTCCTGTCCCCCTTCCCTCCAGATCAGCTTATCGCCTCAACGTGGCATTTTGCGACATCTGCTCTCTTTTTCTTTGCTTATATGGATCATTTAAGCTTGAAACCTCTTGGCCTCACACAGGGAACCCTTTTGTGTTTGCTGACCGGTGTGCTCTTGTTCGGCATAGACTTCGGCGGACCGCTGCAATCTCAAAGACTATATCTAGACTCTCCTGTCCCCGCAGACAACTCGTCCCCATGTCGACCTCCAGTCCGTTGCACAATAGAGACGAAAAGGACTATTTCAAAAATATAGAAAGGATGGCCACTCCTAAAGTGCAAACAAGTACACCGGGTATGTCGATTCCACCTCGTGGAACATTGTCAATACCGTTTTCTTTTTCGCCCTGGGTGAACTACTGCTAATCCCTCCCAGACGCATTCCAGCAAGCTCTCGTTAGAAACGGCGAATGGGCTACCAAAACCGTCGAAGAGCATCCCCTTCTCTTCCCCAAACTCGCTTCCGGCCAACACCCCGAGATTCTCTGGATCGGATGCGCCGACTCCCGCTGCCCCGAAACAACCGTCCTTGGCCTTCAGCCCGGCGATGTCTTTGTCCACCGTAACATCGCCAACGTCATACAATACAACGACCTCAGCTGCGCCAGCGTCGTCGAATTCGCTGTCATGTACCTCAAAGTGAAACACATCATCCTGTGCGGCCACACTTCCTGCGGTGGTGTCGCTGCCGCCCTCGCCAACAAGAAGTTGGGCCTATTGGATACATGGCTGATGCCTCTGCGCCGATTGCGAGAGCAGAACTTGGAGCTTTTCAAGAACCTGGACGCAAAGGAGGCTGCTGTGAAGCTGGCTGAGATCAATGTGCACAATGGCTTGCGGGTACTGAAAGAGAACAGTGCTGTGCTGGATGCGATCCAGGAGCGTGGATTGAAGCTCCACGGACTTATATATGATGTTGGCAGTGGAAAGTTGCGAGAATTGGATACTGAGGAGCCGCTGGATGTCATCAGCAAAAGATTGACGGCGTTTAGAACTGTTACTGGTTAAGTGCTGCAGGTTTTTGGGATAAGAGCATGCTTGGATTTAAGGTACTATACCTTTGCTCGACTGCCAAGTCTGGAGCTACGAATTTAGAAAGCGTTCTGGGGATTTTTCTGGTCTGTACTTCTGGTTTTATATCAGAGAAGTCATGTTTTATATACTTTCCGCGCCCACAGGTCTTGTGGATTACCATGTTTCGAAAGAATTGAAGCTCTGGTTCAAGGATCTAGTACCTGAGAATTGTTAGCTTTCTTTATTATACCCTTCAAAAATCCCGTTGATTCCTAGAGACGTGCAACTGGATCTTCGCCAAGCGATCCTCTTATCCATCTATCCACGGGTCTTGGCGCTACAGGGCGTACTTGAGTGGTGTTTGGGAATTGTTTCTGTCTCAGCACGCAACACTCTGGCAACATGTCCCCCATCTCCTGCCACTCCTCAGGTTTGGGGAGGGGCCAGGGCGGTGTTGATGGAAAGAAGGGATTCCCGTTCTATCTCTAACTTAATTAGACAGCAACTACCACTGCTCGAGGGGCCCACAGGACACCAATGCTGAGTTCGGGCGAAGCTATGGCGAATAATCCCTTTAAATCACCTAGCAGAGTCCTCCGCGTTGGGATAATAGGGTATGTAGTCCATTTGCGGGACGAATCCCCAGTTTATCTGATGAATGATATCACACTAACTTTTCTCTTCCGCTTGGACTAGATGCGGCGAAGTCTCCCAAGTTGTACACATCCCCAACCTGATCTTCCTCTCCGATTACTTTCGGATAACCTACGTCTGCGACGTCTCCTTTGGCGCGATCAACCACTGCAAGACGCGATTCGCCAGTCCGGAGTTTAGAATCACCACGAGCGCGGAGGAGGTGTGCTCCTCGACGAATGTCGATGTGGTGTTTATATGCAGCAGCGATGCGTATCACGTCCCGCACATCCTTGCCGGGCTGAAGCATGGCAAGTTTGTATTCGTCGAGCGGCCTATGGCGCTGTGTCTGCGGGACGCGGAGGTGATTATCGGGGCCGAGGAGATGTCGCCGGGAGGGAGGGTCATGGTGGGCGATATGCGCCGGTACGCGAGCGCGTTTGTCGATGCGGTGAAGGAGATTGGTTCGCTGGATAATATCTGCTATGCGCGCGTACGAGATATTGTGGGCCAGAATTCGACATTTGTGTCGCAGTCGGGCACGTTCCCGAAGCGGTTTCACGATTATAGCACGCGAGACGTAATGGGAATGAATGACGCTATGAATGATATCTATGAGCAGGCGCTGGAGAATGAGCTTGGGTTCAGTGCGACTTTTGATCTGATGACGACGTGGAGACATCTAGGGAGATTGGGATCCCATGATCTGAGCGCGATGAGGGAAGCTCTGGGCGGGATGCCGGTAAAAGTTCTTGGTGCTTCGTTATGTTCGGCAGCTGGTCCGCCGTTTTGCAAGTATGTCCCTCTTTTTTAACCCGCACTTTTGCAGACCCTTTGGTTTTTCCGAGTCTGACCAAGCTTTCCCAGCGCAATATTCCAATTCCCCAACTTTAGCGTATCTTATGAGTCTGGCGTCGATTTCATCCCGCGCTGCGACGCCAGTATAGAAATCTTCAGCAAATCCAAATCCATCAAAATCTGCTATGATACCCCTTACATCAAGGGTGTTCCTGTGACCTTGCACGTCAAGGAGGCCTCGCCGGACGGGTCTTACCGGGAATGCATGATTCGAAAAACATACGAGGATCCATTCATTTCGATGCTAAAAGAGCTGTATGACTGTGCGGTTTTTGAAAAGGAGATAAAGACGACTGCCACGGACGCGAAACGCGAGATTGAATTGTTTGGAATGATATTGAGAGCTGCTGTTCAAGGTCAAGTCACCTAGCAAAAAGAAATAAATACGTGTCAATTATTGCATAGAGCGGCGGGATTTTCTGTTGTTTTTTTCTTTTTGGGATGCATAGTTTTTGCTCATAGGAAAGAAAAAGTTCCATATGGCAGCATTTTAGCTCTGGCTGCATTGACGTACCCTCATTGCAACTCTCCCGTTCGTGGGATTAGTACGCGAAACACGGTCATAAAAACGGACGTTCTTCTAGACCTCACAAAGAGGATATAACCAAATTCGCTGTATATCTTTCAATGCCAGCAGTAATGTACATGCATAAATATGCGGCAAATTTTCATCTTTGCCTGCTTTCAGTCAACTCCCGTCGACGTATCAACGTTCAAATCTTCCGCAA